CCAGTCAGACTGAAGCCACCAAGATCAGGACCTGAAGGGCAGTGGAAGGCTGAACACAACACCAGAGAAAGGGGTAAAGCTGGGAGGTGATGCATAGCAATTTTAAGTGGTTTAATTGTAACTGAAATATTTCCGCTGTAACAACATTATTCTCCTTGTGGACTTTTTCTTTCTTTTTCAATAATAACTAGACTTCTTTTAACACTGATTCCTTGACCACACTGTTAAGGTTTCAATTGCAGTGACAATAAGTTCTCAACTTCACACAATGAGTGAATTTGCTGTTTGCCCATAACATGGTTCTCAGTAAGCTCTGAAAAGCAGTAAGCACTGCTTTGAGGGTGCCACTGTTGGAGTCTGCACGAATTCCTTTCTTTTTTTTGGCTCAGAGAAGTTTCTAGTTAGCATGTAGCCTAGAAGCAATGTAATTTGATGCACTAAAACTGCCTGCTACGAATGATGCAGAACCAGCAATATTGCCTAGATTTTTCCATTTGTTGTGGGAGTCCTTAAATCTTACACAAATGATGGACCGCTGTGTGGGGCAGGGTAAGGTATAACCAGACCCATGGGAAGTATGTTTGGACTAGGAGGGAGATGGGTGTTAACCCATCATGGTATTTGCTAGTAAAGCTAGTGTGAGGACAAAGAGAAATGCTGTCTGACACCAGATAGGGATTAAGTAGTGACTCCAGTACAGTAAGCTGCCAATACCTGTTCTAGCACTAAGTATGCATAACCTTGGAGGAAAGGTTATGTTTGCCCACAGAAACTGCTTTCCATTGCATGGTGCCTTTCTGATGAACTTTAGATTTAAAATGAAATCCCAAGCACCACTCCAGTTTGTTTAAAGGTGAAGACAGCAAAACCATTGCAAACTAAACTTTGAGTTGCTACAAGTGTATGACGGATGTGTTTTCCCGTATCTGGAACGTATGACTCAAATCATCGTTACCTGCTTCTGAATAAGAGGAAAATAAGTTGGTTTTGTTGCTGTTTTTCAGTTTTTCATCAACCCTCCCTGCCAAGGTGGGGGTCCTGTGGAGCAGCACTCCTCTCCCACCACCTCCCTGGAGCACGGCCGGGGACAGAGGGCATCGGGCAGGAGGCACTGGTGGTTCTGCATTGTCTGCTGCCAAGGGCTTGGTTATCAGGTGTGCCTTTATCCTCTGTTTTCCTACAGAGAAATCCTCCTTCATGGAGGTTCCACAACAAATATTGCTTAGGACAGGGCTTCCTGTTGGATAGGAAGGAATGGGAGCTCCCTTAGCACCTTGCTGTTCCCATAAGTTCTGTTTAAACATATTTGTGCACATTACCTGGCAGTAATATATATTATTCAAATCAAATCCCCTCTGTGGCAAGTCCAGTCCCAGGAGGCTTTCTTCAGTCATGGAGCCTGTGAAATTTTCCATCAAATATTTATAAAGAATATTTTTAGGTTTCCAGGACAAGGATTCATGGGTTAGGAGAAGCTGTCTTTAAAGGCATGGTCCAGTGCTATGCAAACACAAGGTCAAAGGAAGGAGAGAGGGAACCATGGTACTGGTTTCAGTCGTTTGCTGCTGCATTACTGAGGGCATCGGACACAAACATAATTACAAGCTAATAAATCCCCTTAGCTCCTCTGAAATGTAAATAAATGTTATTTTCCCCCCTCCCCTCTCCAGCCTTCTCTCCCTCCCTCCCAGCTCACTGTCATACACTTTACCTGCTGAATACAAAACACTTTTTTTTTTTTTTCTCGGCCCACAACTCTCCCAGCTACCTTATAATTGCTGCACCAAGATGGGGCTTCTGTGTCCATATTCTCCTTTCATACACAAACACAATGAACCTCAAAGAGGCACCTTCATGTGGTGAGTGAAAGGCATACTCAGCCCTACCTTTGGGCATTTGCTAACCTTTGATTTTGTGGTGGTAAATGTCTGCTTGTAACTAGTTAGATTAAGAAGGATGTCTTTACCTAGGGTTGTTTATTAAAAAGGAAGCTGAGCCCTCTCCCCATTCATGACTTCCATCACTAGGAATGTTGTCCTGGCAATGTTGTCAATGGAATGTTGCCATGTTGTCCTGGCGAATTCAGCATTTGTTTTTTATGTAGTCAGATTGTGATGGGTTTGGAGGTCTTGCTCCAGTCTTCAGTGGAAGAGAACACAGAGGTGATAGCTACAAAAAGGGGCCATGGTGTTGTTGTCTGAGGCCAGACCTTTGCAGGCAGAGCTAATAGAGCACTGATGGCATAAGTGCACCACCACCATCCCTTGTATGAAGCAAGTTTAGAGGGGGCAGAGCATGAGTTTGCCAGTGGGTTTAGGGAGGTACTTTCAAAGGATGTGTATTCTCATGGACAGACTGCTCCATGTGGTCTTCTCAAGCATTGCTCTGGAATTAGAAGTAACATGATATCGTCCTTTCTGCTGTCTCTCTCTCTCTTTTTTTTTTTTTTTTTTTTTTTCCCCTCATGCTCATTTTGGAGCCTGCCCATTTCAACTTTCTTGGACTCTCCCAGATGTCCCTGCTTAAATTTTAGTCTGTCTCTTCCCATAATATCTTGGTCTCCTTATTCAGCTGGTTTCAGTTCTCCTTTTGTATCCCCCCTTCTCCTTACCGTTTCCTACTGCCTGCAATTTGCCTCTTACTTTCCCTTTTCAGTCAAGCTTTCTACACTGAACCTTAGTGTTTTTCTGTCTTCCTACAGTTTTTTGCAGTCTCAGGCTCCACGACCAATTAACTTCTCTTTCTGTCTTCTTTTCTGCACAGCAGTTCTGATCTTCTCTCCCTTTCCTTCCTTTTCCTTGCTAAACTACATACAAATGATTTGTTCCCTCTCATCTTCCATCTTAATGTTTTGTTTCCCCATCTACTCTTTCTCATTCCCCTGTTGTGAATTTGCTCCTTCTGTTTCCATTTTGCTGAATCTGCCACCCCAGCTCACAGAAAACTGTTCAACTGTGAAAAGCTGGATTTTCAGGAACAGGGTTCATTTTGAATCAGAACAGAAAGCCAAGCACATGGCAGTGTTGACCAGATGAAAATCCTGCCAACAACACATTTCAGAGATGCCAATGCGAGTGTTTCCAAAGCAAAGTGCATCCCTCATTGGCTGGAGTAGAACTGGTGACCAGGATCTTCATGTCAAGCCAAAAGACTTCAGTCATTTTTGCCAGTTGTGAAAAACAAGAGCTGCAAAGAGAGAAAAGAGTGTTCATCATTGCTTATCGTAAGCTTTGAAGTTTCCAGCACCATGTGAATCATGGGTGTTTTAGCAGGTACAGGAGCAGCCTGCAGCTCAGGAAGCTACAAAGAAGGGACGTTGCAGTCTGTAGGATTTAGGAGCAGAGCAATCTTCAGTGATCCTCACCCAGTGGCTATGAGTGATGGAGCAGCGTGGCAGTGGTGGGTGGCAGAAAAGCTGGCAGATTTTTGGCAGACATCTCACAGATCCTGTTGGAATCTACTCTGAGTTCCTCTGTGAATTTGTGGAAGCAGGATAGTTTCTGCAAAACATTTTAACTTGAAAATTTGAAACATTTCTGCCCAAACTGCTTGTTTGATTCATCTGTTTCCAAAGAACTCAGAGGAGTTTTAGTGTTGAGTTTTGTCCTAGCTTGGAGCAGCTGGAAGCAACCACTACAGGGTACATCCTCCTGTTCTCTTTTGAGATATAATGCAGGGAAACTTGCTTAACTGCTCTGTAACGATGTCACATCTGAAGTCCTGCTACCTGCAAGAGGTCTGAGAAGGTGCTTGTACAGTTTGCTCAGAGCTGGAAGGACTGAGGGGCTGTGGAGTACTCGGTGAGGAGACAGCCCCATCAGATCTTTTGTCTATTAAGGTGGAAGTTTCCTAAACTGGTGCAAACTGCATGTGCACGGCCATTTATAAACCATGGTCCCTTGAAACGTTTTTATCTTGGCTACGGTTGGTCCAGCTGTCATGGCAGCATCAGAAAGGACTCCTGACAAAAAACACACCCACTATTGGGTTTCATCTGGCAGAGAAGCACACGAGCTGTCAGAAAGGTCAGCAGGTTCCGTTAGCATCAGCAGAGAAATACATTTTTTTCCCCTTGCATTTTCTTGGAAGTGATTAAATCATTTCTAGTGAAATAAAAAAATAATATATATATATATATAAATATATAAATCACTCTGGATTGAACTCTTTGCATGGAAAAGCTTAACAGTTTAAGTCTAACAGGGCTATAAAGCATCAAAAAATTCTTCCACTGGGAAGAGTCCAGCAACATAAACAGTGGTAGTATGGCCTCCTCTGCCTTAAGTGTAACACCTTTGTCGCACATGTGGTTCCTGCACTTTTAAATGGAAAAGTGTAAAGATGATTTAATAATATCCTTTTACTGGCAGTTAGAAAGTTATAGCAATTTGACATCAAACCAACATTTTTTCTTTAAATAAGCAATAATCATCCAGAAAGTGCCAACGTTACATTTGTACGTACAAGCGAGAAATGAAGTACAAGCCATGTAGCAATAGCTCTTCTTTGGCCTTTGGAGGAATGAAGATTTCTAACTTTTGCTTATGTTCTGCTTCATGTGCAGTTTCTTAAAGCTGGGGATTTTTGAGCACTCAGGTTGCTATGGGTATGTGTGTGTATGTAAGACAAAGAAACACCTTTGATGTAAAAGTTGTGAAATTCATTTAAAAATCTAAAACAAACTACACTAGGTTAAAAATACTGGGTTAAAATTAAGGTTTGTCACTTGTTAGATACATGCTTTGTTTAAGCCCGATAAATATCACGAACCATAGCACGCTATTTCCCAACACTCATTTTCATTTTCCATTTTGTGTTTATAGGCCGTCCCTATGCTGTCATTTTCAGTATGTTACTTTTTATTTTATTTTATTTTATTTTATTTTATTTTATTTTATTTTATTTATTTATTTTATTATTTTATTTTATTTATTTATTTTATTTTATTTTATTTTATTTATTTTATTATTTTATTTATTTATTTTATTTTATTCCTGGAAGTTTGTTGACTAATTACACTTTTTTTTGTAAGTACTAGACATTGTTTGCATCTATACACTGCGTAAAACTTCAAAAACACCATAGTATCCTTAAGACAGAACAGTGAAAAAATATTTATTTTGCAAATAAGAACTAAATCATTAATATCAAACCACTTAGTCAAACTGCATTGCATTTAATATCTTAAAAGAAACTTTTTGTTACTGTCTGTTCAAGTGGTTTAGAAGCAACAAAAGTAATGGGAATCCCACACAGAAAATGAGTACGGCCCATTCCTTCCTGTGCTAGGATGGTATACTGGAGACACGATGAGCTGAAATTACCTATCATACTGGTGAACAGACAAACAGGCTGCACTGTGCCGATGAGGGTCATTCCTGACCATTTCCTCTGGCACAATGGAAGAGAGTTCCTGCAGTTTAGTTGCTACGTGACTTGGGATGTCTACAGTCAGTTTTCAGTGGTCCAGCCACAGTGCTCCAGTGCTCAGCCTTCAGAACCTCTGATTGCAGGGGCTACATCTGAGGGCTGAGTTTGCCTGAGAAAGAGAGGTTAAAAACATGAGTCACATCTGGGAAACTTGGTTTACTCAGTAGAAAGACAGAATCTCCCTCATTTGGAGAAAAACATATAAGTCATCCGCCTAAATACCTTAAATGCGTCTCTGCTGTCTTTTCCTGTTGTTTACATTGAGTCTCATGCAGTGGATGGGTAGCAGAGGGCAGGTGCTGGCTTCCATACCTGCAGGAGCCCTGAGCTCGGTGTAAGTTGAGGTCATTTATATTTCTTCCTTGTTCTTCAGGCATTATGGAGTACAGGACTCAATGATTATGAGATGTGGAAAAAGGATGATTTCTTGCTCTCATCATTGTGTTCCAAGGAAATCAAAGTCACCTTAGTGTCATACTAATATTCTTGTGAAGGCACCAAGATAAAACCAAACTAAAACATTTCCTGGAACAGGTTCCCTCATAAAATAATATCTCTGCTAGTGCAAGATAAGGTATCAGGCAGCTATCTTTGTATGCTGTAGTTAGTCAGATATTAATAGTATGCTGACCACTACAGCCACAAGAAAGCACCACTAAACTCCAGTCTCTGTTCCTGTAACTGCTGCTTCCTTCCAAAAGCTTGGCTTCCCTGGGATAAATATTTTGGAGGTGGGTCTGAGTTAAGCAACTGGTATGCAGGTAATGAGAGTCAGCATCTTTCGCCCAGAAAAAAGGCCTGACCTGTAGGTACTGTAGTATTTTTTCCATTTCATTATGCAAGGCAATTTTATTTATCAGTCATGCACTATGTGGTAGAGTTAGCAAAGTCTACATTACAAAAGTGACCCTATAACACCCTGCCATAAGGGTTTTTGGCTTAAAGTCTTTCAGATCTTGACAAACTTCACTTACTGATCCAGACTCCTTCATTAGAGATGCCTGCCACAGACAGAATCGATTTGTTTTTGTCTGTCTTAGGAAAGGAAAATGTTTTCTGCCCATTTTTTTGAACAAGCTTAGGTGGAAAATGTTGTTTTGCCTCTGCTAGAAAATTTTAGCAACCTCATTAAAAAGCACCAATATGTCCACAGTTTGGAACTCAGATGGAAACTTTGGCCAAAGGGTTGCTCATCTACCAGGTGAGGTCACTGACCTGAGCTAGCATTTGTTCTGTGAAGAAGGCCAAGCAAGCACACAAGGCCACATGATGACTGCCTCATGTCCCCCACAAAGGGTAGTATTTCTTTACTGCCATGGGGTGAAATCTCTTCATTTCATTATCCTCATTTTAAAGTAGGGTTAATATCATCTCCTTTCTTGATGGGGAAATAAAACCCCACAAAGAAGTTAGGAACAGCTTTTTCAGAGCAAGACTTGAGTACTGTGCCATACAAATGGCTTAAGGCTATATTAAGCACCAAGGAGACTATTGAGTACTTATCAGACGAGCAGCGTGATTCCAGTAGCATAAATGGGGCAGGTGCTACACAATCACCATGATCATTAACTACACTACATTGACTGTGCAGCAAGATCGGCTTACACAGGCAACCTCAATTCTGCCATTTCCTTAGTTTTTAATGCCTGGCCTTCCAACAAAGCTGTTATTCTTTTAATACTGTGTGTGTGTTTGCGTGCTTCTTTAAAGGATTCTTCAGCAACATGACTGATGAGCATTGCCCAGGAGGAGTTTGGGAATGATTGAATAGGAAAAGAGCTTGAACTGAACCCTGAACCTGTTCTATGCTGTCAAAATAAGAGGAGACAAAAACACCTTTCAACTTGCAAACATACTGATATCTGATTTCAGTTTGCACATCCTCTTGTTGCAAAGAATTATCCACATTTTTGCACCACCATTTATTAGGGTGTGAGCAAAGAATGCTCATTTGAAAAGCTCAGTGCATGTGTCTGCTGTGATCCACAGCTGAAGGTCAGTTACCATCATTTAGACTGCAATCCACATTAAATGAAAAAGACGCACAGAGAATTGCATCACTTTCTTTGGGATGTTTTCATTGTCAGGTTCCTTGATATCTAACAAACTAACCTGGACTGTGTAATATTCTTCTGTGAAGTGATCTCTATTTCCTCCCACCATTCTCTCCCAAATATAAACAATAACAATGAAAACAAGAAAAAAGATAGAGAGAATACTCATTCTGTATGACAAATAAAGTGACATACTACCCTTATATGGCAAAAAGAAAGTCAGTCATTTCAGTGGAAATAGGGATGGGGTCAGAGTGAAAAACTTTGAGGCTAAATGATAAAGTCTTTTTCATATAAACAATGAGAAAAAAGAGTCATCGCCAGTCATACTGTAACAGAATAAGGCTCAGTAAGCCAGAAAGATTAGCCCCAGTTCCTTCCCCTCTGCATCCCGTGACAGCAGCAGTCCTCTTCAGGATGAGCAACTTCAGTGTTTGCCTTCATTGTTGGGAATCCTAGAGCCATGAGTAGCCAGAAGGGCTTCATGGTATTGAAAGCCAGGCAGTGGTGCCTGCTGGGGAGCTGAAAACACATATGAATGCACTGGGAAAGGGAATGGCAAATAGAAATGGAATATTTGTCTTTTTTTTTTTTTTCCACTTTAAAAATAGGAAAGTTTTTCAAGTGTTGAAAACGTGGTTACTATATTCTGCTCAACTCAAGGTAGCAGACACTCTATAACAAGTGGTGTATAAACTCTGTACTAGGTGGAGAACATCTTATCCTCTGGGAAGCAAGATTACCTGTCCTCAAAACAATGAAATAACATAATCACTTGACTGAAGAGAGAACATTCTAGGAGGAAAGGGTACTGATTTTTCTTTAATTTGAACAAAATGACCCTACTTGTTTTAGTTTAATAGATAGATTAATATATATAGTTTATATACAGATTACAGAGATTGTGTGGATTATATAGTTACCTATTATATTAATCTGTTTCCTTGCAGGAAAAAAATAGGTTATAGTTATTTATGCTGCTAATGGTAACCAAATATGGAGATGGGGTTAAATATTACAGTGAAGGTTTTTATACTGTTATGAACTTTGTAACCTGAAAAATAATTTGAGAATATAGAACTACACTGATTCACTATTTTCTTATTTATACTGTGTTTCATTCAAAACAGAAAATGAAATCAATCTATCTTGGTACATCTGACACATACTCTAGAATACCTTGTTTCAATGTAATTATCTAATATCTGTGGTTACAGCTATAATTTGTAATTTACCTCCTACTATCTTTTTATTAGTAACTTGTGGCTTTCCCAGTGTTTCTGTGTTGTTTTGAGCTTTTATCTTCTGTGAATCTATGAAATCATTGTGCTCCACTGCACTGCTGTTTGTGACTGTTCTTTATAGATAATAAAACAGAAAGCCCTGCTAGAGGAACAGCAGAGCTCACTGCTATCTTTTGAACCCTCCTCCACCTTCCTGCTATCAAAATGGACAACTCTGGTGGGGTAGTTCTTAAGGATAGTGTGCATTGGCCTGAAACAGGCTCTTTCTCTTTTTTTTTTTTTTTTTTTTTTTTTTTTTTTTTTTTTTTTTTTCTCCCCATAAACTGCATATTTTGCAGCTTTCTTTACAAGGGAAGGAGAGGTCTTATGAGCAGGAGTCTCCACTATGCAACTCAGAGTCTTCCTCCACATATTGCCCCACATGACCTGGCAGCCTGTGGGTAGGAAGATTAAAGTGCACTGCTGTCTAATTGAACATTATCATTATGTACAGAGAGAAGGGAGACAAATGACTGCTGTCTGGGTGTCTTGAGCTGTAGCATTTCCTATTTTTGGAGTCTTGGCTTTATTTAAAGTTAATGTTCTATTAGTATGCAATTTCCTAGGATTTTAAGAAAAGAAGTTTATTAAAAGAAATCCCAAACCCAAGAGTGGCTCTTGCATAGCCCCCAAAGCTCTTAAGAGTAGGGCTAAGCAGAACTACAGTGTTGGGATCACAATGAGAAGCTGAAAGTTTACAATAGAGATTTAGTATGTGCTGGAGAAATGTTCCTGGGATGTGCTGGCGTAGACTGAAATCATCCTCTTTTGCTTTTCTAAGTAGCAGACAACTCAGAACACACACTTCTGCCACATGATTCAATCTTCATGAAGGCTGGTCAGGAAACATCACTTTCCACTTCACAAAAACCAGGTGATGGGGCTGATCATGAGAAGTCTACTTTTCCTTGGCTTCAGAATGGAAACCAGAATGGAATGCCCTGCAACCAAATTTTTATCAATGATCTAACCACCTTATATTTCTCATGAAAGAAACAAGAACTTATTGAAATATTTCCAAGGGAAAGAAAATGAGAAAGGAAGAGGTGTTCCAGAATGGTTTAAGCTGGGAGGTTCTCTGAACCAAACTCCCACACAAGGATGGCCACCTAGACAAGGTTACCCAAGAGAAAGAAGAGGAATTCAAATTTAAACTACTTGATGAAGTAATTTATAATTTTAAGATGCTTCAACTCCACTGTATTACGGCTGATAAGTTATGTTGATGGCTAAGATAATAAATGATAAAAATGTTACTATGGAAATGTAATACAGGCTATAAGTACAAGTCACATGGCTTCCCAATTTGATGTCGAGTTTTGTGATAGCCTTTATCTGGTGGGACAACTGGGAGAAGAGTGCCAGAGATACCCAAGTAAAACGGCAAATAATTTGTTAATTGATGAGTTTCTTCAAGTCAAATTCTCTAGCTTCTAATAAAACCTCAGATTAACTGTTTTTAAAAGTATGTTATACTATATTTCAATGGAAAACTTTTAAGAAACATTGATTAATGTTTACTATATACCAGCAAGGTGTAAATGCATCTTTGTTTTTCCTGTGAGCTTCAGTTATCTCCTTGACCACTATGAAATATCAGAAAGGTATGTGCAGAAGGTGGCTACAAATTTGACTCCTGACTCCTTCCTCTTCCCCAAATTTCAGCTTGTTTTAATCAGAATATAAGTAATCAGAATGGTTTTGTAAAAAAATAACATTTGATGCTTTATGACTTGCTTTAAAACCAGTTTTGCACATTCTTCAGCACTTCA